TATTGTACTCTAATATACTTAATATACAATTAAAAAATATTGTACTTTAATATACATTTTTTTTTAATTTTTAAAATCTATACTCTCTTGGGTCGCTACTCTCTACTTTCTACTCTATACTCTCTACTTTCTACTCTATTATACCCTTAGTGTGAATTTGTTTATTGCATTACTTTTTAAATCAACGCCAAAAATATTTTTAATTTCTTTCAAAGTTTGCAATGAACTCTTTTATCTACCTGAAATCTACCTTCTACTCTCTTCTACTTTCTTCTACTCTCTTCTATTCTCATTTACTCTCTTCTACTCTCCTCATTCTCGTGCCCAATTTACCAATAATGTTATAAAATACCCTTTAAACCTTCCTGGTAAAAAATATACATATTTCAATTTACCGAAAATCTTCTGATGATTAAGGTTAAAAAAATATTGTACTCTCTACTCTATCCTCTCTAATCTCACTTCTTTTTACACTTTCTTTTCTACTCTATTATACCCTTAGTGTAAATTTGTTTATTGCATTACTTTTTAAATCAACGCCAAAAATATTTTCAATTTCTTTCAAAGTTTGCAATGAGCTCTTTTATCTACCTGAAATCTACCTTCTACTCTCTTCTACTTTCTTCTACTCTCTTCTATTCTCATTTACTCTCTTCTACTCTCCTCATTCTCGTGCCCAATTTACCAATAATGTTATAAAATACCCTTTAAACATTTCTGGTAAAAAATATATTTCAATTTACCGAAAATCTTCTGATGATTAAGGTTAAAAAAAATATTGTACTCTCTACTCTATTATCTCTAATCTCACTTCTTTTTACTCTTTCTTTTCTACTCTATTATACCCTTAGTGTGAATTTGTTTATTGCATTACTTTTGAAATCAACGCCACCAAAAATATTTTCAATTCCTTTCAAAGTTTGCAATGAACTCTTTTATTTACCTGAAACATTAATTCTAAAATTACCCTTTAAAGCACTCATTTGAGCTTCCATTGCCCAAATTCCCGGCAATCATATAACCGAAATATCCTGGTGGTTTTATTTTAAAAATGCACTAATCTTAGCTAATATTACGAGTACATAAACCGAGTTCCTGGTGTGTAATTTTAGAGCCCAGAAAATAGCCCGTAGGTATTTTTACTAAACAAAGAGTGGGCTTGATTTTGTTCGATGCGTTTCGAGATGCATCTTCATTTTAAAATGGACGCACGAGCAGGAAGGGCGTTGAACTCGACTTGAGAAAATTAATTCCAATTAAATTTAGGTCGGTTTCAAACCCGATGTCTTCTCTGCAGTTGACACTGATGCTAAAGGCGATATAATTCGTAATCATATTTTTTTGAGCAATATTAAATGATTTTATTTCTAATTTTCTAATGCAAATTATTATACATTTTCCAGTTAATTTATAAAGATAAATAAATAGACACTCGATAAATCTAATGAAATGATCCATATAAACTTTACACATGGTCTTTTAAAGGAGAGTAAATTGAGGTAGGGTAGTGTAAGATAATGCAAATTACATTTTTCCTGTCAATTCTACTAAAAATGCATACGAAACTAAATGCGAAACTAAATATCGATAAAATTAATACTCGTTAGATCAAAAGATTCGAAAGCTCGATTTACATGCTACTTTAAAGGAGAGTAAGGTGGAGTAGGGTAGTGTAGAATAGTGTATGTTAGCGTAGGGTAGTGTATGAAAGAGTAAGGCAGTGCATGATATAGTGTAGGATAGTGTAGGGTAGTGTATGAAAGTGTATGGTAGTGTAAAGTATAACCTACCTCTGTACCTATCGTACAAGTATCAAAATAAATAATCAATTAATCAAGAAGAATTTACATGGCCAACTTATAAAACCTATTTAGGTTTTATATTAGGCAGAAATGTATGTTTTATGTAAAATATTTAATAACTTTAAAACTATTAGGTTTAGGTATTGGGAAGTAAACAAGAACATCCCTTATTTTCGACCGCTGATTTCATTAAAATAAAAAGAAAATGGGTGTTTCTATTTAAAAAAAATTAAGAAATTTGATATTTTTGATGTCCAACTTTTCACATTTTTTGTACAGACCCTGTATAAAATAAAAAGTTTTTATACCCAGATTCAAATACCTCCAACCTTTCTAGTAGTCACCCTACAGAAACCGTTTTCTTACCTCTAAGGAGATCCTCGTAAAAAAATAATTTATAAGGGACTGCATCGGTAAAATTTTTCAAATAAAAATTAATAAGTCAAAAAGTATGCATTTTTGATAAAAATGTTTTAAACAAAAGTACCCTAAAATTTAACATAGATTTCGAAAATATATTAATATACAGGGTGTCCCATTTGAGATAACAAAGTTGATGCCAACTTCCGGTATACCCGGAAGTGGTACGACTGTAAAAATGTTTTTAATAGTTCAGTCTTATTGCGTAACCTGTGTATACCAAATTTTAATTAAACCGGATAAGTAGTTTCCCATATACAGATAGTTTTAACTAGTCGTGGGACACCCTGTATATTTTTTAGAGTGCCATTTACGTTCGATTACTACCCATTTTTTTATCAGCCGAACTTCCACTAAATTCCGCCCGAGGCGATTTTCAATTAACGATTTTTTTAGCCTCTTGAGTATATATTTTTTCCGCTCGAAATACAATCTGTTGATCCCCGTTACATTATAAGAGATTTTCCTTTGGTCCTTTCGAAAATTACAAGGACCGTCGAGCATCCGGCGAAAGTAAATTAAGCCTGAACGATGTCAAATCGGGAACATCGGGTTCATATCATCTCGTCAAGGTTAATTTGTTTTTGTATAAAAAAAAATACAATTACTTCGAAAACGGATGCGAATGAGGGGGCTCCTTTTTTCCTCAAGGTCCCGTTTCGTTTTCGAAATTCAATTTAATTTTTGTTGTTTCAATTCCGGGCCTAATCTCCTCGGGCTTATGACATTAATAAAGACGGAAATGATACTTAGGTATTGCAATTTTTAACGTTACTGCGATGTCGGGATGTTTATTAAGTTCTTCTCTCAAGTTTTCAAGTAGATAATAATTTAGTGGTATTTTATTTCCACTAAATTTACATTTTCCATCATATTTTCTATCATTTTTTAGAGTTTATTAATTAATATAGTAATCGTAATTTACAGTATTTTTAAAATTATAATTTCCTATACATATTATGGGAAAAATAATTATTTTTTATTTTCTTCGTTTCAGACGCGCGTAGAAATTTCGATTTCCTTTTCTTGCCGTACCGATCGTAGTATTAATTATTATTTATTTATGCTGTACTTACTATGTAGATAGCAAAGCAAACATCTCTAAATATTTCATTATTACTTCGACATTTTCCAATTTCAAGCCGACATTGCGAACAACCTATACAACAATCTATCTCCGGTGAATTTGGAGAACTCCAAGATTCATTTAGAAAATCATTTTGTTAATATTCTCGGCGTGATTTTCTATTTTTACTAAATTTTAGCGGATCAACGGTGAACTTAGCGTTGCAATTCTAATTAAAAATGATGTAACAATCCGCAATTATCGCCTGCAATATTCAACATGTGACGCCGGAAAATCGAACATTAAACAAATATTTGAGCGTTGATTATTCGCCATCGAAGCGTCTAATTCTTATTCCTACAGAAAATAAAATATGCGAAGGGGTATCTCTGCATTAATTTGTCGCAAATTTAATTCCCTTTCGAACGGAATGTACATAAAATTTAGCTTCGTTTTTAAGACCCTTTAGCTACGGCATTAAAATGTTTACAAACAAAAATACAGCGCAAACAACGAATAACAAAAAAAACAATAAACAGGAATAAAGCGAATTTCAAAGCAAATTATGTTTATACTACTAATACAGTCGATGTTAAATTTTCATATCACATGTACCTGTTATTTCTTCTAATACTGTATATGAACGTATGTAAATTGGGCGCCAATGGAATTACAAATTTTAATACTAATGAATTATATTAGTATCTTATACGTTCTTATACTCTCTTATACTCTCTGATACTCTCTTATACTCTCTGATACTCTCTTATACTCTCTTATACTCTCTTATACTCTCTTATACTCTCTTATACTCTCTTATACTCTCTTATACTCTCTTATACTCTCTTATACTCTCTTATACTCTCTTATACTCTCTTATACTCTCTTATACTCTCTTATACTCTCTTATACTCTCTTATACTCTCTTATACTCTCTTATACTCTCTTATACTCTCTTATACTTTCTTATACTCTCTTATACTTTCTTATACTCTCTTATACTCTCTTACACTCTTTTATACTCTCTTATACCCTCTTATACTCTCTTATACTCTCTCATACTCTCTTATACTCTTTTATACTCTTTTATACTCTCTTATACTCTCTTATAATCTCTTATAATCTCTTATACTCTCTTATACTCTCCTATACTCTCTTATACTCTCTTATACTCTCTCATACTCTCTCATACTCTCTTATACTCTCTTATACTCTCTCAAACTCTCTTATACTCTCTTATACTCTCTTATACTCTCTGATACTCTCTTATACTCTCTTATACTCTCTTATACTCTCTCATACTCTCTTATACTCTCTTATACTCTCTTATACTTTCTTATACTTTCTTATACTCTCTTATACTCTCTTATACTCTCTTATACTCTCTGATACTCTCTTATACTCTCTTATACTCTCTTATACTCTCTTATACTCTCTCATACTCTCTTATACTCTCTTATACTCTCTTATACTTTCTTATACTTTCTTATACTCTCTTATACTCTCTTATACTCTCTTATACTCTCTTATACTCTCTTATACTCTCTTATACTCTCTTATACTCTCTTATACTCCCTTATACTCTCTTAAACTCTCTTATAATCCTTTCTATTCGCGCGCCCAATTTACCTACATAGGATTAAAATACCGTACTATGCTCTCGGATAATAAATATATTTATGTGGCAAATTTACCACCGCCTAGTATACGTGATGTATTACACGTAAGCGGATGCAGTGATGAAAAAATCCGTTTGAGTAATAAAAAAATAATTTTTACATTTTACGACCAGAAAATCCACTCGCAGATAGTCAACAATGTTATTTAATTTAGAAGAAAATTAAATGCATCACAACTGGTGACTGTGCAAAATTGGTTTTTACTACACTCGACAAGATACCCACTTAAATACTACGAAATATTCGAGCAAATATGCACAATGAACAGTCGATAATTGTAGCATAATTAGTCATTATGTAATCAGACATTTTGCACTCGATATGAAATGATGATAATATGAAATGACAATTTATCAATAATTTTTTTATTTATTTTTTTATCTATAGCTGATTCAAAAAATCAGTTATTTTACTTAGATTTAGCTATTATTTATGCATCAATTGCGCCAATATGTTTTACTAAACGAGTTCCTGTCCAGCACACTGAATAAACAAACAAACTTTAAAACTTCCAGTTATTTAAAAACAATAGTGATATCGCACCTTTAACTCGTTAAAATCTTGGCATACGGTCTACCCCAAAAAAATAATTTCAAAATTTCCTGCGGTTAAAACGAAACAGTCGATGCCAATTCACCAAATTTATCTTCCTTAATTATTGCTTTAACGATTTTAAAATTATTTTTAAATCATTCCTAACTAACCGTTCGCATTTTTTTCTACATACTTATAAATAACCACGCTTTAATACTAACCAATTAAATTTTTTAATTTTATTTAATTTTATTTTATTTAATTTTTTTTATTTCATATACCTAAAGAAACGTGTTGTGGGACAAACTTGCTAAAAAAACCGATAAATCCGAGCAACAGCCGAAGGGCACGAGCGCCACCTCCAAAATACCCGTAGCAGATCCCAAAATTTACCGACCGGCCTCTCCCCAGCCGCCCCCCAAGCCCCAGGAGCCCCCCAAAGCCCCCGAGCCAGCGAAAGCCCCCGAGCCAGCGAGAGCCCCTGGACCAGCGAGAGCCCCCGAACCAGCAAGAGCCCCTGAACCAGCGAGAGCCCCCGAGCCAGCGAGAGCCCCTGAACCAGCGAAAGCCCCTGAACCAGCGAGAGCCCCCGAACCAGCGAGAGCCCCTGAACCAGCGAGAGCTCCAGCGCCAGCAAAGGCCCCCGAGCCGGTGAAGCTGGAGCCCCCGGCGAAGCCCCCGAGGTCCCCTTCGCCTCATCCGCTGCGGACGGAGGCTTTCGAGGAGATCGAGTACGAGGATGATGATGATGAGGAGGAAGAAGAGGTCAGCACCGATGGGGAAGAAAACAGCGTGATTTCGTCTTCTCCTCGAAGGAATCAAATCAACGCGACGGGCAACGAGCAGAGGCATAAAAATTAGGCGGAGTCCTTGTATTGCGGCCATTTACTAAGGATGAGCCCAAGGAGTGATGGTTTTTTTGGTAACTAAGTGGTGTCGGGTTTTATCCTTTTTTTATGATTGTTTGGTTGTTGTTTGGTTATGTATAAAATAAAGCTCGGGATATGTGCTAAAAATTTTGAACAAACATGCGCATGTAATGTGCAAGGTATTTTTGTAAAAGTTTGGTGAATATTTATTGAAAAAAGGTGTATGCATGCTTGTAGAAGTGTAAAAAACGTTTATGCTTTCATGCAAATTTCCGTCAATTTGTTAATTTTTTTATGAAAGTTTCAGTTTTTTAATATCATTTTTCGATATTTTTATGAAATTTGTATTAATTCAGTAATTTTTTAATGAAAATTTCGAATCTTTCACTCTCATTCTCTTTCCTTTTCTTTCAAAATTTTTGTAATATTTGAATCAATTTGCTGTTTTTTTTACAAAAATTTCATATTTTTCTCTCATTTTTTCGCAATTTTTATTAAATTTGATCAATTTGCTTATTTTGTATGAATATTTCAATTTTTTTATTTAATTTTTGCTATTTTTATGAAATTTGAATCAATTTGCTGATTTTTTAACGAAAATTTTACATTTTTCAAACTCATTTTTTCGCAATTTTTATTAAATTTGATTAATTTGCTTATGTTGTATGAATATTTTAATTTTTAATATCATTTTTCGTTATTTTTATGAAATTTGCATTAATTTTCTTATATTTTATGAATATTTTAATTTTTAAATGTAATTTTTCGCTATTTTTATGAAATTTGCACTAATTTAGTCATTTTTTAATGAAAATCTCGAATCTTTCACTCTGATTCTCTTTCCTTTTCAGTCAAAATTTTTGTAATATTTGAATCAATTTGCTGATTTTTTTACGAAAATTTCATATTTTTTAAACTCATTTTTATACAATTTTTATTAAATTTGATCAATTTGCTTATGTTGTATGAATATTTCAATTTTTTAATTTCATTTTTCGCTATTTTTGTGAAATTTTCATCATTTTAGTCATTTTATTAATGAAAATTTCTAAATTATTCCTCTCATTCTCTTTCCTTTTCCATATTTTTATGTAATTTTCTTCAATTTGCTGATTTTTTCAATATAAATTTCAAATTTTTCAATCTCTTTTTTTTCTATTTTTATGAAATTTGATCAATTTGCTCAAATTTTTTAATGTTTTAATTCCTTAATCTGATTTTTTATTATTTTTAAGAAATTTGCATCAATTTGTTCATATTTTTTTTATGAAAGTTTAAATTTTTTTTAGTCACAACTAAAAATTTGAAACTCCCATTTTTGTTAATAACTTTCATTTTATTTTTTACATATTTTGCATATTAAATTGACAGTCCCAGATAAAGATAAATTAAGATTCCCATCTTGTTACTGTCTCAGAAAATGCTGTGTAATTAGCGTTATCTAATCAAAATATTTAAAACATGCAATAATTACTCGAAATGTGCACAATAAGCAAAAATTACCTGAAATAAGCAAAAAACGCAAGAATTACTCAAAATATACAAAATATGCAAAAAATGCACATTGCATATATTCCGAGCTTTAGATTGAAAAATTAAATTTATTTTAAATTGATTTTGTTTGATAAATTTGATAGTTCTAAGTATTTTTGATTTCGTAAAAAGGTGATATTTTCTCAACGTTATTTAATTTTTTGCACTCAATTGATACTATTCATTTGATTCTTATCTATTATCTAATACATGTTTAAAAAATACACTGATATGTCGACATACAATCGATAATAATTTTTTTTAAACTGTTTAATAAAGTGCATTTTCTTAGAAAAGTGAAATTTACTGTAAATAACAAGAAATTTAATTATCAATACACTCGAGGAATGTGTCAGCAAGTGCCTATAAATAATTTGTTCTTTTTAGTCACCCGGTTTAGGTAATATATTAATGTACATACTTATGTATATTTTGTAAATGGCTCTGGGAAATTTGAATAAAACATTACGAACATAACTCAACTCGTTTTCATCAGTTACCTAGCCAATTTAAACCTAATTATAATTGCAGCAGCCGAAATACCTATATAAATGGGCGAGTAAATAAAATTGTTTAATGAAATTCCTCCTAGTGCTGGAGTATTCGAGAGATTGAAATTTTAGCAAAATTCTTTCCGCGCACTTCAAGTTTTTCAACTTTCGCGAAATACACTTCATAAACTTGGAAATCTACCAGAGATTCGACGATGAAATAATAGAGATTACGTGAAGTGGGCAAATAAATATAGATTAGCCGCGGATGAAGTTCATAAATTTTTCTGATTTTCATATTTTCGAGCGAAACTGGGTGATTTCCAGCGCTCGAGTGGCACAATCGGGATTTTTTTTATTTTGGCAAATCGCGCGGTAATTGCGAAAGACGAACCGGCGTTGTTGTAAAAATACGAAATTCCCCAAATCTATTTCTGGGCGAGCGTTCAATGTCAACCGGCAGGCACGAAAAGTTTTGTCTTTCCTCGATGAATTATGGAAAAGAGCCGTTTGATCGAAAATTCTAGACTAGTTACCTAGATAAATTCCCGGATCGATGCGAGAATGTCCCCTTCGGGCACCTGTACAGATGTATCGGATAATTTCTCTCCGACGGCGCCTCGATCACTATTGGAATTTTCTAGTCGGAAATAGATTTCAATATTAAAAATTAATTCGAATGTACGCTCCGAATGTAATTGTACATTTTTAATAAAACATGCGACCGACAATTTTATCAATAAACGATAATTGATGTCGCCAAGCAATACCTGACACTGATGTCAAAATCGAATTTCTAATAATAAACTTAGAAGGTTGCTGAAAATTAAAGTATTATCTGAAAAGTTTTATTTCACCGTCAATAACGACCAAACTCGCTTTATTGACACGATATGTTCGAATGCCGATTAATTTGAATCCATCAAATTCAGCCTAACTGCAGTCATTGCAATATTTATTATTAGTAATTTAATGAATCAGAGCCGATAAGTTATTTTCAGTAACGAATTAAGGAAAATATACATTTCTTTTATCTCCTAGATTCATAAGAATGCAATATTCCTTTGGCCTATAAAATTATTTTCATTGCGTCCTTTAAAAGAAACTGTTCATATTTTACTTTATAAAAAGTTACATGCAATAATTATTATCAGTAATTTAATAGATAAGAGCCGATAAATTATTTTCTATAACGAATTAAGGAAAATATATTACAATATTTCCTTCATCTTCTAGATTCATAAGAATGCAATATTCTTTTGGCCTATAAAATTATTTTCATTGCGCCCTTTTAAAGAATCTGTTCATATTTTACTTTATAAAAAGTTACATGCAATAATTATTATCAGTAATTTAGTAGATTAGAGCCGATAAATTATTTTTTATAACGAATTAAGGAAAATATATTACAATATTTCCTTCATCTTCTAGATTCATAAGAAGCAATATTCTTTTGGCCTATAAAATTATTTTCATTGCGCCCTTTTAAAGAATCTGTTCATATTTTACTTTATAAAAAGTTACATGCAATAATTATTATCAGTAATTTAGTAGATTAGAGCCGATAAATTATTTTCTATAACGAATTAAGGAAAATATATTACAATATTTCCTTCATCTTCTAGATTCATAAGAAGCAATATTCTTTTGGCCTATAAAATTATTTTCATTGCGCCCTTTTAAAGAATCTGTTCATATTTTACTTTATAAAAAGTTACATGCAATAATTTATATTGGTAATTTGATAGATCAGAGCCGATAAATTTTTTTCTATAACGAATTAAGGAAAATATATTACAATATTTCCTTATCTTCTAGATTCATAAGAATGCAATATTCTTTTGGCCTATAAAATTATTTTCATTGCGCCCTTTTAAAGAATCTGTTCATATTTTACTTTATAAAAAGTTACATGCAATAATTATTATCAGTAATTTAGTAGATTAGAGCCGATAAATTATTTTCTATAACGAATTAAGGAAAATATATTACAATATTTCCTTCATCTTCTAGATTCATAAGAAGCAATATTCTTTTGGCCTATAAAATTATTTTCATTGCGCCCTTTTAAAGAATCTGTTCATATTTTACTTTATAAAAAGTTACATGCAATAATTATTATCAGTAATTTAGTAGATTAGAGCCGATAAATTATTTTTTATAACGAATTAAGGAAAATATATTACAATATTTCCTTCATCTTCTAGATTCATAAGAAGCAATATTCTTTTGGCCTATAAAATTATTTTCATTGCGCCCTTTTAAAGAATCTGTTCATATTTTACTTTATAAAAAGTTACATGCAATAATTATTATCAGTAATTTAGTAGATTAGAGCCGATAAATTATTTTCTATAACGAATTAAGGAAAATATATTACAATATTTCCTTCATCTTCTAGATTCATAAGAAGCAATATTCTTTTGGCCTATAAAATTATTTTCATTGCGCCCTTTTAAAGAATCTGTTCATATTTTACTTTATAAAAAGTTACATGCAATAATTTATATTGGTAATTTGATAGATCAGAGCCGATAAATTTTTTTCTATAACGAATTAAGGAAAATATATTACAATATTTCCTTATCTTCTAGATTCATAAGAATGCAATATTCTTTTGGCCTATAAAATTATTTTCATTGCGCCCTTTTAAAGAATCTGTTCATATTTTACTTTATAAAAAGTTACATGCAATAATTATTATCAGTAATTTAGTAGATTAGAGCCGATAAATTATTTTTTATAACGAATTAAGGAAAATATATTTCAATATTTCCTTCATCTTCTAGATTCATAAGAATGCAATATTCTTTTGGCCTATAAAATTATTTTCATTGCGCCCTTTTAAAGAATCTGTTCATATTTTACTTTATAAAAAGTTACATGCAATAATTATTATCAGTAATTTAGTAGATTAGAGCCGATAAATTATTTTCTATAACGAATTAAGGAAAATATATTTCAATATTTCCTTTATCTTCTAGATTCATAAGAATGCAATATTCTTTTGGCCTATAAAATTATTTTCATTACGTCCTTTAAAAGAATCTGTTCATATTTTACTTTATAAAAAGTTACATGCAATAATTATTATCAGTAATTTAGTAGATTAGAGCCGATAAATTATTTTCTACGACGAATTAAGGAAAATATATTACAATATTTCCTTCATCTTTTAGATTCATAAGAATGCAATATTCTTTTGGCCTATAAAATTATTTTCATTGCGTCCTTTAAAAGAAACTGTTCATATTTAACTTTATAAAAAGTTACATGAAATAATTATTATTGGTAATTTGATAGACCAGAGCCGATAAATTATTTTCTATAACGAATTAAGGAAAATATATTTCAATATTCTTTTGGCCTATAAAATTATTTTCATTACATCCCTTAAAAGAAACTGATCATATTTTACTTTATAAAAAGTTACATGCAATAATTATTATTGGTAATTTGATAGACCAGAGCCGATAAATTATTTTCTATAACGAATTAAGGAAAATATATTTCAATATTTCAATAATCTTTTGGGCTATAAAATTATTTTGATTACGTCCCTTAAAAGAAACTGATCATATTTTACTTTATAAAAAGTTACATGCAATAATTATTATTGGTAATTTAATAGATCAGAGCCGATAAATTATTTTCTATGACGAATTAAGGAAAATATATTTCAATATTTGCTCTTTTTGCTTTGAAACTGCTCACATTTTACTTCATTAACATTTACAAAACCTTTTGTACCCCCAATTAAAAAACTGTATAGAATGTAAAATTATTTTGTACTTGACTATTTCACACAACAATGCTTAGAAATATGCAGCATATTTTTTTTTTAACAGACATCCGGCGAATTCTAAATGTCTACCTCCTGAATTCGCCTCTGAGCTTGTTTGTATTCGAGCTCCATCTTCCCGGCTTATTCATAAAGATTTTTCACATGGTCCGTCATTATTTTCATTAACACCAATTGTTCCCAATTACTTTATTTGCTTCGTCAATCAAGCCAAATGAGTTTTCGGGAATACTTCGCGGTATTATGTAAGATTTTTCTGTTTTTGCCAACATTGTATGGATGCGAATGCTGAATATTAGCCAGATTTTTGGTTGTGCGTCAATACTTTATAAACCTTTAAAGATGTATCGTTGCTTTTTACTGTTTTCTATTTTTAAACGCCAGTTATAGCAATTATATAATTGCGGAGAATGGTTTAGTGCTGGTAGCAAAAAAGCCGGCATTTTTTAAAATGTAATAAGTACTTAGTAAAAGAGCAGAATTCTCATTTCGCTATTTAATTAAAATTATACGCATCGCAATTATATGCATAACTTTTTCAATCATGAATGGTATTTTTCAAGTCCTATTTAAATCCTTAAATCCCTTAAACGATCTGCAGTATTTTACGTTATATTAAAAAATTGACAAAATAATATGTTATTCATTAAAATATTCCTTTAGGGATAATACCGTTGAAACTGTACATAATTCATAATCTTCCTATTAAACTACGTATTAAATATTAAACTGTGTACAATAATGTCGGAAATTTAATAATTCTGATAAGATTAACAACCCGCTGAATATTTCGTTAATTAGTTCATCAAATGTGCTGGACAATATGCAACGTGGATGGAAATAAATATTCTTTATCGTATAATCCGAAATTGAATAAAATAACATATAGGTACCCCATTCTACCCTGCTACCCCGTTCTGCCCCACCTTCCCCTTGTTTAAATAATAAAAATTTAAAATTTAAGAAAATTATTTAAGTTGCTGGTCTTAATATTTGCAGTTTTCTGTCCTTTTGCATTACAGATCAAGGTGAGATTTTTCATATTCTAATAATGCTAATTAGAATTAATTGAATGTTTCGATAAAAACGATTATTTAGTATATAACCAAGTTTTTAGGTAAGAGACGGTAAAAATCTATTTGTTTTAACAATTCGAGATAGCCTGCATTTTAAAGCGATGACACAAAAAATAGTTGCTAATTTAGTTTTGCAGTGGGATTAAATTAATGAAACCAAATATTACGCGTAATATACAGTGAGAGTGTAAAAGTTGGAACAAATTCGTTAAATGTTTGATTTGTCCATTAGGGAAAAAAGCTCGTGCACGTCGATTTTTATTTTAAAAAGCGGGTCTTAACAGGTTGTGAGTGTTTATGCAGGATGTCTCAAAAATGAGATATGACTACAAATTACATTTTTTAAATGGAATGCCTTATTTATTATTTCATTTTTAGTTTGTACGATGAAAATAAACGTAAGTTTTATTAAGATTTTTTGTACCTAAAGCCGTTTTTGAAAAAAATCGAGTTTTGTGATTTTTGCAGCGTTTACTTTAGTGTTCAAATTTTCGGCAGTTATTACTTTTTTTTAGGTAAAATTAATAACTCAACATTATAATAGACCAAATTTTATCTTACACTTTTCAAAAATTCGATAAAATGTTCTGGATGACCAAAAAGTATAACCGAATAAACGTCATAATCAAATGGTAATAATTATTCTTTATTTTATAAATTGAACGCCCCAAATTTTATCATTAATCACTACCAAGAAGAATTTTTGAAGGACTTTCATTCTTATATTAAACATTCCCTATACTTACCTAAAGTTAACAATTCTCGAATTAAAACAATTAAAAATAAATGTAATTTAAATATGAAGAAAAAATTATTTAAACGTTTCTATTCTTAATAATCGATTCCCAATCTTTTAATTTTCTTACAAATGTTTAAAATTATACTTTTCAAACATCCTGTACATTTTACCGAATTTTTGAAAAGTGTAACAAATATTTGGTCCATTATAATAAAGCGTTATTAATTTTACCTAAAAAAAAGTAATAACTACCAAAAATTTAAACACTATAAAAGTAAATCCTGGAAAATCACGAACCTGATTTTTTCAAAAACGGCAAGGTTTAGATATAAAAAACCTAAATAAATAGGGCATTCTATTTAAAAAAATGTTATAAAAAGTTATAGTCATATCTCATTTTTGGGACATCCTGAATAAACACTCCTGTAATAACCTTTTAAGACCCGCTTTTTAAAATAAAAATCGACGTGCAGAGCTTTTTTCCCTAATGGACAAATCAAGCATTTAACGAATTTGTTTAAACCTTTACACTCTCACTCTACATATACAGAAATACGCGTTGAATCGAGAATCTTCTCAGTATAATAGTTAAATTCCAGCGTCCGAATTAAACAGCTTTCCTGCACCTTAATAATTAAAATAGGCGCTAAATAATTATCTCTATTTTTGCACATTTTAAACCGCTTTAAAATAAACTCTTCATCGGAATTCCAAATTGCACACTTACATATTCAAACCGCTAGTTTACGTTAAATTGAGCATAGGGATCATTATTAGGTACTCGTCTACGAAGGAAGGAAAAATGAAAAATTGGTAGATGAGCGTTTCTCTAAATAGATTGCCAATTAACTTTGTATATTTGCCAAGTAGCCGATTGTATCGCAACAATACCTCCATAAAACATATTCAGCCTATACCGACATTAAAAATTCTGCTATTAGATTACAAGCGTGGTGGTTTCGATAAAAACTTACATAACAAAATCATCTGCGCCTAATTCGTAGTAATGTATAAATAAGGAGACAATTTAATTTAAAATGTAATAGAAAATAAATTAATTTTGTACTAATTAAATAATATTTTCTGTGTAAACAAACGCATTGAAACTACCCTAATGAATATTTACAGGATTTCTGCGATTATTTATATAATTATGGTTGGCAGTAGCATTTTGAAAAACGCATTGTTAATGCTGATTTCTATTTTTAGCCATTTATTTGCAGTATTATATAAAAGAGAATTTCGAAATCATAGCTGGAAGGGATATGTTCATCAAACAACATTCAATCTGTTAATTAAAATGTTCCTCCCAATGTTTTAATGTAACTCTAATAACCTACTAATAAACAACAGTATGTGTACATATGCAAGAATAAAAATGTATTGTTGGTTATACACCAATATTGATGGTTATGTACAGTATGAACCATATGCGTAATGAATTAATTCAATTTCTCAAATTAGATAATACATATTTGTTTAAATAAAAAGCGCTGAAATAGTTTTTTAGTAGGTTTTTTAAATCGAATTTGGTAACCTAAAGTGTTCAACCGTAATTTAAACCCCATTAGTATGAGACTTATTACTACCCTTAATTTTTCGAATTTAAAGGAAGGCTCATTTTAAGACATTTTCAATCTCCATTCGGTGATGTTATTTCATTTTTTTTTCTTGTTGCCTAGTTACAAATATAATGACATTAGAAGTTCAACTTGAATTATTTATTTTTGCTAACAGAATTAGTAAATTAAATTATATTAAACATATTTTTTTCTGTTGCCTTGTTTACAGTTTGGACATTCACTATGTTTGCAATTTACACTATACAGATAAGTGCAAATTTGTTTGCAATATGACCATTAATTGTATGAGTTAAATACAGATATTATTAATATAACAGTAAATGAGTGAAAAAATTGCAATCGCCCAATATCACTCTTCCTTTTTCCTGTATATGAGATTAATGAAAGTTGTCTTTGTTGCACCCATATTGCGAACAAATTTGCACGTATCTGTATATTAATAATACATATTCGATACGGCTCGTCATATTCATAAAACAGAATATTTTTATGGGTAATTAATTTTACGAGAAAAACGATCATTTTCACCACCAAAAATTACAACGTGCATCCACCATAATTATTTATTTTAAGAGCATGATGTAAAGTACACACACCTATCTAAAAATACAACATCTCAGCTGATTCTCCGTAGAAATCGATAAAATCACTTTCGCATGTAGTTCTAATGCAATCAAAATTTATCTGCCACACATTGTCCTTAAACATCGATAAATCTTATCGCGGTAATGCATTTCTAGTACCTCCAAGTACTCGTAGAAATGCGATAACTTTAATTGAATTGTCACTAAGGCATTCAATTTTTTTGCAAGTTAATCCCAGACTGATAAACACGATAATACAATTAAAAAAAAAATACTCAAGAAATTATTAAAACGAAATTAATTGAATATGCAGTTAATTAAATAAGGACGGACAGAAACTAGGTGTATACAGGGTAGGTGTATATTTTTTTTTTATTTCGAATAATTGCGTGTACCACCCCCAAAGGTTTTTGCGCCGTTTTTGGTGTACATCTATTTTTATCGAAATCTCGAATGGGAAGCGAGCCGGGCAAAACGCAATCGCGTTTTCGAAATGCGATTTGAAGTTTTGAACGCGAGTGAAATACGTCGGGCGTCGCGATTGGACGGCGCTCGCGTTTTGCGTCATTGGAGGGGGAGCTTTCGAAAGATCTTCGCCGGTAGGAAAATTCACAGTTGTTTGAAACCGCGACAAAGTGTTTATATCAGTTGAAGATTTCAACCCGACAACACTACACCAAGGTATACCAGAAACAGTTTTCAAATAACTTGCTGTATTATCTTATACTACTACTACATCAGCTTATAGTTAGTGTTTTATTCGATATATGCTTGTCAGATTAATCGCCGAGCGAATATCCGTTTTTCCGAAAAGAGGTTTTCTGAATAGTGTCGCGGCTTTGAAGCGCAAGTATATGTTTCATTAATTCTGTTTTAAAACCGAATAGTTTATTAGTAAGTCGCTTTGTAGTTTGACGATTGTAGTTTTCGCTTTCATTGCAGATTTCGAGATTTTTCTTAATATTTTTTTATACCATACAAAATATTAACCATACAATAAATAGTAACGTGTGCTAGTTCGAAAAGCTACAATCCTCTTGTATAAAGCGAGTAGTTTCCACAAAATAATTCCAGTCGCAGGATCGAAACTTTGTTACGTAACTTTAATGCGGCGACCGTCAATTCCCCCAATTTTTCGACGGAAACTACTTGCGATTATTGTTTAATAGGAGTTCAGGAAATTTACGATGGTGATTCAGTGCCTTAAATTGTTCAATTGCTTAACGACTTTTAGACGTCAGTCTAGCATATTCGTACGTGGGGCATAAAAAAATTGAATTGGCGGATTTCACTCGTAGTTGAATGTTGGATAAGAGCAAGGTATAACAGATTTGAATTTATTTTATTTATATTGTGATATATTCTCTTGTGTTTATTTAGTTAGTTCGAATGTGCATGAAAATAATTAATTGTTAATTAAAATCAGGTAAATATTTTACTAATTAACGTTGTATTTTGTCTCGAATCAGAAGCACTGCCTTACTAATTGGGTAAACAAAAAAAACGCCAGATTTTCTATAATTAAATTCATTGTAATATCTAGAAACTCAACTTGACATTGCGTTAATAATAGCTCGAATTCGCCAGCCAACACTCTAATTTACGTTTGTTTTGACATTTATCGAATCAATTTTTTCTACCTAGAAATAACCCTCGTTAGGTAACGAATCGGAAAATTAACTTCAAATCGGGTTACGGGGTTTTCTTCAGGTTTCACCGTATAATAATGGCAGTATTGATTAAGTTTCACGTATCGCGGTATTCATATTATACGCGATCGCCGGCGGGATTGTTGTGGATTCGTTTGACCTAGGATAAGGTGTATTTCACTGTTATATAGGGCGACAAGAGAGTAGGATGTAGAAATTATTCCATAGTACATCCAGGGATGTAATTAGGAAAGCGAAACGTATAACACGGATCAATTTGGTGCTTTCGTTTTTAATTCCGCTTCGGAGAACAAAATTTCGATTCATTATCCTAGTTACAGAATATTTCGAACTTTCTTAAGTCTTTCAGCTTTCGATTCAATGTCTTAAATCGTTTCTCATTGAAAAATCAAAATGTTCAATCAAAATTATTTGTAGTGCCGGTGTATACAAGTTTATTGATTTATTCCGTTAGCAAAGTAATTGGATTCGAATTCTTAATTCGTTGCTCATTGAAAAATCAAAATGTTTAAAAAGGTATTTGTAGTGCCAGTTGTATGCAATTGTATTCATATTTTGTGATTATTTCATCCACCAAATTTTTAAATTTCTGTAATAATTCATCCACCAAAATTTGAAAAATTACTAAATTTTGATAAAACACTTCTATAGAATTCTTTAAATTAACCAAATTGATAAAATTAGTTGATTATTTCTACATTAATCATCTACAAAATCATTCAATAGCTTCCAGGACGTGTTTCTACGAGTATTAAATTAACTAAATTGATAAAATTATGCATTACATTTATCATCTACAAAATCATTCAATTGCTTCCAGAAAATGTTTCTATTAAATTAACTAAATTGATAAAATATACATTACATTTATCATTTACAATATCATTCAATTGCTATTAGAAAATTGCCCGAAACGCGGCGGTTTTTAATTTTCAATACAAACAAATTATTATATAGGGTGGAAACGCAAAATGGAATAAATTCATTATTTCGGTTAATGTACATATTTATAGAAAATCCCAAAACACGTCAAATTTTAATTACAATTTGACATTCATCAACGTCAAAATGTTAGCCATATCTTCAACCCCCTTCGAATGAAAGTTACAACCCCTATTATTTTAAATCGGAAATATAGGCTTGTGATATATCATTTAAAAGGTCTCCTCATTCTCTATCCAAAAATGTTATTGTTTTCCAGTTTATTTTAAAAATTACTATTAAAAAAGAAAATCTTATTTTCCGTTTTAGCCTGAATAAAAGACTAGTTTATTTAAAAGGTCTTAGTAAATTGGTTTGCAACTGCAACTGCGTGAGAGTAGTTCTCAGTGTTATAATTTTTGTATGAATTTCGTTGGTTGCAATTAAGAAAAATTGTTAGATTAATAAAAATGCAAAAAATAACAGTTTTGGTGAGGAGATTAATGTTTTTTACATTGTGAACAATTAGGTATTGCATACTGAGTGTATTATGTCAAATTTAATCCATCAGATGATCGTATTTTTTATGTTACAACTTGACAAAAAAATAAAATTTTGATAAAGAGAATGAAGAGACTTTTCAAAGGATATAATGAATTTATTCCATTTGACGTTACCACCCTGTATAAAATTCGGGCTGTGATTTCTGCGAAAGTAACATTAGGAATCCCGAAGGTGTTATAAATCATATTTTACGAGCAATCCAGGCAACTTTACCGCCTATTGGAATTAGTAATTTATAGCGAAATAATCACAATGAAATTTTATTGAAGCACTTTGTAAACACGGCACTTAAAATGATTCGAAAACACTGCACCAACTATTGATTCATCGATTTATCTGAGATAATTTTTTATTTATTGAACAGGAATTTTGTTTGTCACCGCGGACACCTTAGCAAAATCACGTACACTCCGATAAACTCAATTAGTTTAGAGCGATAATTTTTGCCTCATTTACCGGTACTTACGTAATAAAGCGGCATATTATGTACCGGCATAGAATGTACCAAAAGAATAAGTGGGTCTTTAAGATGCGTTCGATGGTACACAAAGAAAAACTGTCAAACCTAATGACTTTTCGTATGACAGAAGTTTAATAGAGGTGGGAATTGATTTTTGGGTACAGAGGTGTTACAAAATAAGCGTTATTTTTCATACATTGTCCCACTTTAATTCCCCGTTCCATTCCGCAATCAATTAAGTCACAGTGGCTAGAAAAGCGCCAGTTCATTATAATTTTCTCGCGTTAATTTGTTGACCTGTAGTATCCCGTTTCATATAGGAAAGTTGAAAATTTTCTTCATGTTTACTGATAGGTAGGGCTCATCGTGAATTCTACGCACGTACAGTGACATTCAAAAGGGCGTCATTAACAAAACGGGAAAACCCCTTGGAAAATGGAAAATTCTGTTACTCCATCGGAGTAGGCGTAATGCAATTGTAGCCTCCAGTACAATTGATCGTAATTTTGAATTAGTATCGGGAACAAACATCTCGGTACTCGAAATTGAATTGCACAAAATTCGTTTCATGTAATTGTTTTATCTCTATCTCTACAACTTCATGGAAATGATTACATTACTGATATGTTCATCATTTTTTGCACTACCATTATTCATCCGATGTAGGTAGGTAAATTAATTTGGAAAATTGATTACATATATTTCAAAATCGCACTCTACTTTCAACTACTATGGAAATCGACAATAATCATCAGTAATTCCAATAATTTTAATTAGTTAATTAATATATGTGGGATATATTCCGTGATCCTTTGTTAAATTTCGAATATCTCTCCCTCTGAATAACAGGTAGGTATTTATTTAACATCATGCATGATACTACTAACAAAGGATTTATTATAGATATGCATAATTCCGTTTCATAAATTATCGCAGCTTGCTTTGCATCTAACTAACAATCCAATTTAAAACTTTAAAAAACTTTGAAATTAATGATGAAATTTGAGAACTTTGGAAACTTTATAAACTTTCAGTCGACTTCTTAGTAGATAGTGATGCCAAAAATATTTTAACAGTTTGTTAAAGAAATAATTAATAGTATGTAGTTATTTCTGTTTAGAAACTTATTCATCTGATATCATAAAAATCTATTCATCCAGTTATTTATGAAGTTTTCCAAAGTTTCCAAATTACCAAGACTACATTGATATTAAGGATTAAGGAAATAAGAAAATATTATAAGATTTTTCGAGATGGCGAGTTTTAAACTACGTAGAAATTTTTATACAGAATAACTTCTTTATTAAAATCTTAATTCAAATAAATACATATTTTTAGTATGATTTTAACATAGTGAATTGCACACTGAGTAATGTATAAAATGTTTGAGTGAAAATGAAAGGTGAAAATTATTTGCGGATCTGGTTAGTAGTATCATGCACGAGGGGATGCTGAAAAGTAATTAACTTGTTGATTCAATTTTACAGATTCGGAATGAAAAAAATCATTTATAGCGCAATAAATTAGCTCGTTAGCTAGTAATTTTAGTAATTTTACATATTTCGTACATTTCCAGTAAATTTTGCATATTTTTATTAGTTCGAAAAACGTTAATTACTCAGATATTTCTGATTTTTAGGCTAAATGAGAAACTCAAAATTTATATCTTTATGTGTGATTGTCAATTTAATAGAAAAAAGCAAATTTTAGAGGAATTGCAAAAAGTGAGGTTGAAAAATGTAAAATATTCATGAAGAAATGAGAAAAGGATACTTACTTTGATAAATATTTCATAAAAGTAGCAAAAACTGAGATTGTAAAAACTGAAATTGCAAAAACTTTTCATTAAATTTTCATTAAAAAATGAGTTAAAAGTAGCCCCAATTTTCATAAAAATTGCTAAAAATAAAAGTAAAAATAATGAAATATAAGTCTAAACATATTTATTATTTTAATGCAATTATGCATTTTTTATATTTCTATATTTTGAGCATATTTTAGGAAAATATCTTGAGCATTTTTCGTCAGAATCTTTTGAATGTATTCCGATCGTTAGTTATGAAGTT